ATAAAAGGAATCACATGATAGTGGGTAAACTACTAATGCCCATTTTCCATGCTACAACGAGTCAATAAATCATAAAATTTAAGTAATTTGATTAGAAGAAAAATGAAAATATTGCAAGACATTACATTTAAAAGAAATTGATTTCAATACATGAACTTCTATCTTTAATCTGAACACATTGGAATTACAACAATGGAGAAACATTATGCTAGTGATTGCTTGTTAAACACACAATCCAATGAACCGGCCTATACTATTTTACATTTCATAACTGATATGGCATTCTCTTATACGAATATGTTCCCAACTTTTTTTTAATGGGTTTTTGGTTCCGAAACTGAGAATATTTTTCTGGAAACCATCATTGAAGCATATTATTCTAGATCACCAAAAGGGATGAAAAATTAAATATTTTTTATTGATACAACATTCTTAATTTCTCTTATAGGAGAGACTATTGATGATCCAAACCAGTCAATCCATTTCTCATTTTCCAAACCTGTATTTCAATTAAAAAAAAAAAAGAAGAAGAAGAAGAAGAAAGGTTTAGGTAATTCGGCAACGTAGAATAGAAGATTGGTTGTAACTTCCATATCAGGCATAAGACCCCAAACATATGCTGGTTATAAAATCATGGACATGGTTTACTCAATCATGATGAAATCAAAGGCCTACAAATAGCACCTATTTTCTCCCACTCCAACAGACCAAAATGTTACAATCATACAGAAAAATCAGTCATGTTTATTTACAATATTGAAACAAGTGTCCAAAGGATCTCCAGATATAGGAATAAATCGTGTGTTGGCTTAAGAAGATACTGCTTTATGGAAAAAAGATAGCAGGCTAACACAAGAGCTAGCAATCGTAATCTAATAAAAGCATTCAATGGGTAAACTGGTGGTGCCCCATTTCTACACTAAAACTCCCAGTCAATAAATCCAGTGGATGACAGATTTTCATATTATATTTAAAACAAATTTGATTTCAATCTATAGATTTCAATTACCAATCTAAACACATCTTAAAGATTATGCATACCTTGAGAATTTCCTTCCGAGGCAATAGTCATTCTTTGTTGGTTCAAAGTAATTAAGAGGAGCTTCACCCAGACAACCTCTGTCAATTAGCATCTCCAAGAACATGCAGCTTGCGTCATGATATCCTTGAAAGAGTAAGTGAAATCCATTATTTAGTTAAGAGAGCCCCATATTTTAAAGATATTCAAAATGACTCAGACTGAACAAACCTTCTGCAGTAGCTCCAAAAAGTGCTCAAGTGTCTAAGAGCAACAATATAGAGCACAATGAATTGGTTATGGTAGACAATGTACCACTCTATGACAAGGTGAGTTTTCCTCATTTCTGCAGTGATCCACCAAAAATGTCAAAGGGGAAACTCTGATGAAATCAATAAAAGATTCAAGAGGCTTTCAAAAAGACCAAATAATAATTAAGACGACTAAAAGAAGATTGCTAATCCCTTACCGCCTGTTTGGTACCTTGGACTATTCACAAGATGGGACAAAAATTAGTCCAAACCAGTGATAACTCATGTTTGGTGGTGTTAAGGGATATGATAAAACATATCTTACATTTTGTCTAGTCCTAACCTCAAGTGATAAAAATTTATCCCACTTACCCCATGGGTTACAGTGGGATTGGATTAAATTTTTTTTAGACTTAAAACAAAATCTCTTTCTTGCCCTTTTCTCCTTCCCTCTCATCACAATCAACAATCACCTCCCATTTCTCCTCATCTTACCAGTCATTGCCATAACTAGTGTCACTCCATCGAGTTTTACATCAATCCTTTGGTAAGTATCAGATCTACATTTTCTTTTTTGTTTCTTTGTTAAGTACAAAACTCAAATCTATGCCCTTTTTTTCACTTGTAGCAATCCAACAATTCCTTCATATTTATTCTTCTTTGGCTCTGAGCTATTGATTTTGGTAAGCCTCTAACCTTTATCTCTATTTTTGCATATTGAATTCATGCTAACTCTGTAGAAGAAGTAGAGGAATAATAGGCTTTTGGGTTGGGCAATTATTCATGCTTTGTGTGTGTATTTGGGAGAAGAACTGTATGAACTAGCCTATATATATGAACTATAAGTGAGGCACTAATTTTAAAATTCCTCTGATTATTAATGTTGATGAAGTTAAATTATTTCTTGAAAGATGCTTAATTTTTTTTTTTTGTGGGTTTTTGATAAAAAGATTGTGCAAATTGTTGCTCTTGAACTTTAGTGAGAACCATTTAGGTTGTTTCTTTCTCCAATATTAAATAGAAGAACAATTGAAACTTATGTCTCTATTTCATAAAATTCTATCAGTATGTTGTGATGTTTATCCATATAATACTTTGTGCTGTCTCAATTCTTTCTTTCTATTCTAGTAATATACCATTTATCATGTGTATCTTCTTGGTATGATTTTTTTTTTTCAGAATGAAGTTGAAACTGTTGAAACTCAGTTTGGAACTCTTTGGACTTGAGAGCCTGTTCTATGTTGACTGCTTCTCTGTTAGGCTCACTTTATTTGTTTAGGAAAGAGAGATAAGGGTTTGATTGTTTGTGTTGGTTAAATTCTATAGCGTCTGGTACTTATGTATGGTTTAAGGATGTTTTAGCAACTTTGTCAAAAGGCATCACATTTATTGTAAGCATGGAATTTTAGGTGGGTGTCATAATTAGATGGCACGATATAACTGAGCTTTGTTCTAAAGAGTTACTGTTGCCACTGGGTGAACTTGGATTTTTTTTTTTGTCATGACTTTGCTTTAGGTTTTATGTAAACTTAATTTCTAAGTCCCAATAGGTTCCATAAATAATATATTTATATTCATTATATGGATTGGTTGCTATGATCCTTTTCTTGGTCTTTTCCCCCTAAATGTTTTAATGCTGCCTTTGATGCTTTCAAAGTTTCTTTTTTTGTACAAGATTGGTTCTTGTTCATTAATTCACTAGGTTGGGTTTCTGGGAATTTGAAGTAGACATTGGACCGAGTATAAACTTGTTTGTTCTCTGCCCCATAAAACAGAACCAATAACAAATATGCTGAATTCAGGTAGACTTACACTTGAAGAATCCAAGCAGACACTTTTTAAGTTAATTTGAGACTCACAATAGATTTTGTTCTAAAAATTATTAAAAGTGAGGTTCAAGTTTAAATTTCAGCAGCAAATTTACAGCAAACAAATTATTTTGGTGGATTTGGCTATATTTGTGGTTTAGAACTTTTTGATGTTTATATATTATTTGATGATTATTAATGGTAGATTTGGCTATTATCTTATATTATTTTTATGAAACTTTTATATTAATTATTTTGGGTGACCTTCGTATGTTAATTTCATCATTAAATTTTTACATATTTTCTTTAACTTTTGTTCTTCAAGATTCAAATATAGGAGGGTTTTTTTTTTTTTTTATGAATTATTTTGATAAAATTGACTTTAGATTGTTTTTTGTATTATATAAAGAGTATTTTTGGTGGACATTTTAATAACTTATTTTGATAACATAATTTTTTTAGGTTAATTAAGGTTATTTTTTTTCATTGTAGACAAAATCTGGTAACTATTAAAATTTTTAAATATTTTCTATGTTGACAAATTTTAATGAATTTGAGAATTTTGAAATATTTTGAACTTTGGGCATTTTTGCCTATATATAAAAATTATGAAGATTATCTTATATCTAATTTTACCCATTGCCAAACTAAATATGAGATAAATTTTGCATTCGGTGCTATGATGTAATACCCCAAAAATTTCTAGAATAAATAAGTGTGAGTTAGGGACTAACTCGTAAACAAATATTATTAGTGAACCTAATGGCAATTTGTGTTAAATTCAAGGGGCTTAAAAGAGGAAAATTTGGATAAGGATGGCTTATTTCTTTTCTTCCTTCTTTCTTTCTTCAGCCCGTGTGTTCTGTGATGAGCTAATTCCACTCTAGCAAGTGTACTAATCCGTTCAAGTAATATAATGATGAAAATAGAGTATTGTCCCACAGAGACTGTAGACTAACTAAGTACCAAAATTAATAAATTCTAATTTTACTTGAACAATTGAAATTAAATGATTTGAATAAATTAAATAACTAAACTAATTAAAGAAAAACTAAATTAACTTTGAGTAACACCAAGAATTAAAAGTCTAAGGCATCCGACTCCACCATAATCAACTAATATAGAATTTAGATCAATGTACTTCCAAGGTATTTATTATTCATGTGACAGCAGGATTTCCTATTTTATTCGATATACTTTCTCAAGTTATACCAAACCTATCTTCACCTATTAACCTACTATATCTCTATGTGAATTTAAATAGATAAAGATGCATTATGTTTTATGAAATTCCCTAGTTTACGTAGAAAATTAAGTCCACTTATCACTAATGCTACACAAATTACGTTGGTCCATCTCTGGCTTTCATTCAATTCATGGTATATATTACTAAAAGCTATTGCATAAAATCTCCTCTCGATCTCAATTATGCTCTTCAAATCAGTTTTAATGGTGGCCAATCATTAAAAAGTATTAAGAACAATAATATATACTCTCCATAAAATAATAAGCCTTGAAAGTATAAAAATCATGAAATTCTATATTAATTTGATCAGGCTACATCGTAGCCTTAGATGGCAAAATTAGTTCATACTAAACATGACAAAATCTGAGATTAAATTGATGAACCACAATTCCATATCCAAACAAAGGAAAAAAATAAGTTTAGAAGAGCAAAAACCCAATTTGTGGAACTTAGATCTGTAGCCTTCACTGTCGTGCTTGTCCCCTTGTTTTTGATTGAAGTGTCCCCAGTGGTTGCCTTTGCTTCTACGGTCACTCGCACAGAATCCGTGCAAGCTCTGCCTCAAACTCGCCTTCCAAGCTCTCTGCCTGCTGCCTCTAAAATCCCCTCTCAGAAGTCTTCCCCCCTCTTCCTCCAAAAATCCCCTTTTTATATCAAACCATGTGCGAAAACTGCATGCCCTTCTTTTGAAAGCCCATCTTATCTCCACAATAAGATAAAGCCCACAATGTTGTGTCACATGTATGCAGAAGAAAAATTCAATTCTGGTCTTTGAATGGGGAAATCATGGAATCAGACTTGATGTTTTCAACTTTTGTCACTTCAGCCCATTTACTCTCAATTTCTTTAGTTTTACCCTCTACCTACAAAGAATGATAAAAGTAATGTAAAACCAAATAAAATTGTTCCAATAAAATATAAAAGATTACAATTCATGACTAAAAAGACATGTATAATTGTATGAAATTTAGGCTCATCATTCTGCTCTTCTTCTTCTTCCCTGCACCGAACAACAAGAAGCCCAGCCTCGACGCACACCCCTTTGAGAAACCGGTAGGAAAAGCTTAGTTTTTTCCTTTCTTTTCTTGTTCGAAAACTAGATTTGGAGCCTTGAAACCTTCTCCCCCTGCAGAGAAAATTTCTAGATCTGCTCTGCTTTGTCTTCACCGCTGGCTGCTAGGTGGGTGGGTGATTTTTGGGCTTTTTTTCGGTAAGAACAGCCATGGGTCTCCTCCTTTTAGCCTTAAATTAATTTGGGTTACTCTAATTTTTGGTTGTGGTTCTTGAATTTTGGGTAGTTCTCATGAGTTTCCCTCCAGGATCCCGTTGGCTTCCTCACTAGCCAAGCTCGGTTTCTGCTGGGAAAATTCTGGTATGTGGCAGCCCTTTAAGCCTAAAATTTTCCATTTAGTTTGCTGCCTTGTGATGTCCGAAAATCTGCAGTAATTAGGGGATAATTTTGGTAGCTTTAGGCCAAAATTAAGCATTAATTAAAGTGGGATTTATGTGATTCAGTGTTAATTGATTGCTGTGAGATTTTGGAGAGAAATCCCGTGAGATTAACTATGGTTTTGCCAATTTTTGGAAGTTGGAGTTACTGTTTATGTCGTGGTCACTGTTCACGGCACTGTTCACGGATACTGTTCATGCATTGATGGCCAACAATTAACGGGGATTTAAATGTTTAGTTTGTAATATAAGAATAAATTTGAAGATGTCTGATCATGC